CTGACCAAGTACGAAGTCAATATTAGATTTATCACGATCAACAGTCCGTATTTCAAATTCCAGAACGATAACCTCATGAATCCCGGTTTTATGATTGCACAACCGTTGCACCACCACCTACTCGTGCAGTGACAATGCTGCACTAGGCACCGTTCAACTGCGCAACCCCTAAAAATAGTAAGCAGTCAATATAGCGCTAAGGAGTGAAATATGCAGGAAAATTTGACTGCTTAGGTATAGCGAAAATCAATGGGAGTCAATACTAAGGGAGTGATGAAACCCAACAGTACGCTTGTACGTGAAATATAAACCGACATGCAAACCGAGGCGAAGCCGAGGTTTGTATGATGGTTTATATTTCACGTACAAGCGTACTAGTGGGATGTATTATACTTATGCTGACCTTCATACAAACTGACAGTCAACTTCTTCCTGTTTCTATGGTGGCGGTCTATATGGGGTTTGTATGGGGTTTGTATGAGGTTTATATGCCCAGTATAAGCCGCCGGCATGATGGGCAAGTTGACTGGAATGACTGTATGAAAGGTCAGCATAATCAGCAATATTCACCACTTACTGTAAAAGCCATTATTCTAACGAGGCGCAACGATTTCTCAAAATTGACTGGTTTACATGTACCAAAGGTAACGATTCTCACTCATTCTCAACGCTCAATAGGACAGTATATGAATCGATTTCTGTATAACGATTTCTATTTTAACGACAGGTTTCCCCTCGTTAACTCGTTAGAGTTAGCACTTCATTAATGGCTTTGACAGTATGTAGATGGACAATTGTATGTGGGTGAATATGGAGTGAGGTTTAAACGTGTATATAGTAATGAGCTACAGTAAAACCTGGTGTAAGCGACCTCTGTGTTTAGCGACCACCTGCTCTTAACGACCGTTTTTCATGCACCGACACTCGGACAGTTCCACACAGACTACATGTATCTAGTGTTCAGGAGGTGTTTGTCGCGCTGGAAACGGACAAGTTTGTTATAAGTTTGTATCCCTGGAGATGTTTGTTCCTGGAGAGCACTATGTAAGTGGTGCTCTTCAGGCACAATCTTTCTCAGCCTACTCAAGCTCAACTGATGAGGGGTGAATTCTCCAAACCACACTCTGTATTGAGCAGGGAGTGTTGCTTTTCACTCACAAAGCAACTGTTCAGTACATGGGGTAGTGGTCTACCAGAGCTATCACACTCACCACCGTGGTGGTTTTCCAGAAATGAGTAGAAGCAAAAAACCACACTCGCAGCCACATAATAGATAAATAGCCGAAAAACATCTAAATCCATCAAAGAAACGCCAGCAAGCGGGAGAAAAGGCCGTAAAATCAAGTGAAACAGCATGGCCAGTGGTGAGCATGGGTGACTGGGCAGCAGGGGAGCGCCTGAAAACAATGACTCCCTACATTCCTAGCCGCGACCGCTCAACCGGGCTAGAGGAAAAACACGCCTTTCGGCCAAAAAACCTTTCTATTTCATTAATTCCTGCCCCGCTGCCAGTCGGACCCAAGAATAGAGACAGCAAGAAATGGTATGTAATAACCAGTGTATGTCATAATCATAAGCCACACACATTGGCATAGAATATCAAGAAGAACAGCGGAAGACCCCATGAAACCAGGGTGGGTGGGCGGGCAACTTCAACTACCTCGAGGAAAAACAAAGACCACGATGGCAGGTTCAACGGAGTTGCGCAGAGCAAGAGCAAAAGCATTAACATATCTGCGAGTGAAAAATACGTTTTTGCACTCTTTCGCTACGCTCAGCCGTGAAATAAACAAAAACATTCACTCACAAAGCAACTGTTCCGTATATGGGGTAGTGGTCTACACTCACGATGTAAAGGATAGTGAGGCCGATAGGAGAGCAGCACACATAGACTTGGACAAGGAAAGACGAGCCGTGTGGCGCATGACGCCAGCGTGCCAAAGTCTGGGGCACTGTGACCACCATCTGTGGTCAAGTGTATAGTTACTATGAACATTATGTAGGTCCGGCCAGACTTGCCCTGGGATGATCACCAGCTGGCCAGGTTGGGTCTGGCGGCAACCGGGCGAGCACACATCAGCCAGGATCACATGATCAGCAGTGCAATCAGAGCAGACAAAATCTCTGCGAAATGCCCGAAGGTTCCCGTGCTAGGTGGCGAGTGCTACATCATGGAGTCGTACTGCCAGTAAATTCAATGTGAAGTGCTGCACTTCCGTGTTTGGGCTGGACGTCCGTTCAGTTCCTGCAAGAGAAGGAATGCTGTATCGAATGCACACGGCCAAACCCTTACACACACTTACTGCACACACATGCACCCTTACGCACACTCACCGTATACACACACACGTACTAGACGTACACTCACTGTACACACAAACTTACTGTACACACGCACACAACATCAACGACAACGACCACGACAACAAAGACAACAAAAACGCCGACAGCAACGCCCACAACTACATGTACAACAAAAATGCAAACAACAACGACAACAGTAACAACAGCAACGACGACCACAACGATAATGACGACGGCAACAAAATAAACAACAACAACAGCAACGACAACGACAACGACAACGACAACGACAACGACAACGACAACAACAACAACAACAACAACAACAACAACAACAACAACAACAACAACAACAACAACAACAACACCAACAGCAACAACAGCAGCAACAGCAGCAACGATAGTAACAACAACAACAACGACAACAATGAGGACATCGACAACAACGAAGACAACAACGTCAACAGCGACAACAATGCCAATAACGCCAACGACAACGACAACAACAGCGCCAACAACAGCAAAAGCGACGACAATGACAACAACAACCCCAATAACAACGGCAACAACCACGACAACGACAACAACCACGACAACGACAACAACCACGACAACAACAGCAACAACGACAACAACGTGGACAACGACAACGCCAACAGCGACGCCAACAACAACGCCAACGTCAGTAACAACAACAGCACCAACAGCAGCATCAACAGCATCAACAGCATCAACAGCAACAACAGCATCAGCGGCATCAGCTGCAACAGCAGCATCAGCTCCAACAGCAGCAACAACACCAACAGCAGCAACAGCAGCAGCAACCGCAGCAACAGCAGCAACAGCAGCAACAGCAGCAACAGTAGCAACAGCAGCAACTCAAAAACCCGACGCTCAAAAACCCGACGCTCAAAAACCCGACGCTCAAAAACCCGACGCTCAAAAACCCGACGCTCAAAAACCCGACGCTCAAAAACCCGACGCTCAAAAACCCGACGCTCAAAAACCCGACGCTCAAAAACCCGACGCTCAAAAACCCGACGCTCAAAAACCCGACGCTCAAAAACCCGACGCTCAAAAACCCGACGCTCAAAAACCCGACGCTCAAAAACCCGACGCTCAAAAACCCGACGCTCAAAAACCCGACGCTCAAAAACCCGACGCTCAAAAACCCGACGCTCAAAAACCCGACGCTCAAAAACCCGACGCTCAAAAACCCGACGCTCAAAAACCCGACGCTCAAAAACCCGACGCTCAAAAACCCGACGCTCAAAAACCCGACGCTCAAAAACCCGACGCTCAAAAACCCGACGCTCAAAAACCCGACGCTCAAAAACCCGACGCTCAAAAACCCGACGCTCAAAAACCCGACGCTCAAAAACCCGACGCTCAAAAACCCGACGCTCAAAAACCCGACGCTCAAAAACCCGACGCTCAAAAACCCGACGCTCAAAAACCCGACGCTCAAAAACCCGACGCTCAAAAACCCGACGCTCAAAAACCCGACGCTCAAAAACCCGACGCTCAAAAACCCGACGCTCAAAAACCCGACGCTCAAAAACCCGACGCTCAAAAACCCGACGCTCAAAAACCCGACGCTCAAAAACCCGACGCTCAAAAACCCGACGCTCAAAAACCCGACGCTCAAAAACCCGACGCTCAAAAACCCGACGCTCAAAAACCCGACGCTCAAAAACCCGACGCTCAAAAACCCGACGCTCAAAAACCCGACGCTCAAAAACCCGACGCTCAAAAACCCGACGCTCAAAAACCCGACGCTCAAAAACCCGACGCTCAAAAACCCGACGCTCAAAAACCCGACGCTCAAAAACCCGACGCTCAAAAACCCGACGCTCAAAAACCCGACGCTCAAAAACCCGACGCTCAAAAACCCGACGCTCAAAAACCCGACGCTCAAAAACCCGACGCTCAAAAACCCGACGCTCAAAAACCCGACGCTCAAAAACCCGACGCTCAAAAACCCGACGAGCGGCCAGGGGAGCGGCCAGGCGAGCGGCCAGGCGAGCGGCCAGGCGAGCGGCCAGGCGAGCGGCCAGGCGAGCGGCCAGGCGAGCGGCCAGGCGAGCGGCCAGGCGAGCGGCCAGGCGAGCGGCCAGGCGAGCGGCCAGGCGAGCGGCCAGGCGAGCGGCCAGGCGAGCGGCCAGGCGAGCGGCCAGGCGAGCGGCCAGGCGAGCGGCCAGGCGAGCGGCCAGGCGAGCGGCCAGGCGAGCGGCCAGGCGAGCGGCCAGGCGAGCGGCCAGGCGAGCGGCCAGGCGAGCGGCCAGGCGAGCGGCCAGGCGAGCGGCCAGGCGAGCGGCCAGGCGAGCGGCCAGGCGAGCGGCCAGGCGAGCGGCCAGGCGAGCGGCCAGGCGAGCGGCCAGGCGAGCGGCCAGGCGAGCGGCCAGGCGAGCGGCCAGGCGAGCGGCCAGGCGAGCGGCCAGGCGAGCGGCCAGGCGAGCGGCCAGGCGAGCGGCCAGGCGAGCGGCCAGGCGAGCGGCCAGGCGAGCGGCCAGGCGAGCGGCCAGGCGAGCGGCCAGGCGAGCGGCCAGGCGAGCGGCCAGGCGAGCGGCCAGGCGAGCGGCCAGGCGAGCGGCCAGGCGAGCGGCCAGGCGAGCGGCCAGGCGAGCGGCCAGGCGAGCGGCCAGGCGAGCGGCCAGGCGAGCGGCCAGGCGAGCGGCCAGGCGAGCGGCCAGGCGAGCGGCCAGGCGAGCGGCCAGGCGAGCGGCCAGGCGAGCGGCCAACGAGCAGCCAGCGATCAGCAACTACAACAGCAACAGGATGGGAAAAAGAACTAGAAGAACCAAAATGCGATTATGAAGGAGAACAAAGAGAACTGAGAACAGAAATTAGAACTAGAAAGAGAAAAAGGAAATGAGAACAAGAATGAGAACAAGGATGGGAACTATAATGGGAACAGGAATGGGAACTATAATGAGAACAAGAATGGAAACTATAATGAGAACAAGAAGGACAAGATGAATCATAACAAGAATATCGGCAAGAAAGAGTAAAAAATTGGGCACATTAGTGAGAAGCATCAAGGAAGAGAAAAAGTTCGAGAAAATCAGTGAGACCAAGTATGTAAACAAAAATGGGACGTTACAAAATCATAACACTTATGATAACAAGGATCTTCTCTGGATGGTAATCTTCGCTTACCTTTCTGGACACAGTTTAAGGTCATGTCCGGGACCAACATGACATCTGAAGTTGTGAGATCTGCTGCCGGAGCGACATTGCTCAACAAAGAGAATCCTGTTGACTTCTATGGACATGACATCTCCATTTCCCGGTGATCTACATTTGAGGAGCTTTGCAGCTTTACCTTAAAGAGGAAGTTAATGCTAGAATCAAAATTTCACTAGTTCTAGTCTTCGGGGTGCTGAGTCAAATGGTCTTGGTCCGAGAAAGCTGAGGCACTCCCTTCCTACTTCAATCCAAATCGAACTCGCGCACTTCCACCGAAAATGGGTGATTGCGCCCTACTAGATGAGGATTTGTATTCAAAATGTCACTAAAAGCGCCATTTCGTTCTTATAAAAGCACGGATGACCGCGATTGGCCCATATGTCGTTGTCTTCAAAAGTTTGGACGCTGAGTCGACTGGTTTTGGTCCAAAAACGCTGCGATGCAGCGTTCCTCCTTTTATTCCCGATCGGACATGGTTGAACAAGCGGTGACGTGCTCCTGGGCGGCCAAATCACCTGGTCACCACGCCAGCAGGCGACAACTTTCACACCAAGGTTCAACTCGAGTTCAACTCGAGTGACAGGAGTGCACCCAAAGAAGGTCAAACAGGCTAGTAAGTAGTTAGTTGTACCCTGCAGGCACGGTGACCACGTGACTAGTGTAGTAGGGCAGGGCAGTGCACGCTGGAAGTCCTCTGTATGGCCTCTCAGCGGTATGAAACATTTGTCATGATTTGGACTTGGCGAGTACCTCCGTACCGTCCTGTCCGCTATAGTTCAAGCCGTTCAGCGATTTCCCTTGCTTCCATGTTGATTTGACTGTACGCACCCTCCGGTGCATGCTGATAAGTTCTGGTAATAATATGACTACTCTCTAAAAATCACATCACACATTTTCATGCAGATCTCACGGTGTATACATTGATAGTGAGCTCGATGCTAGCCTACATCAGTACATGTACTCGTTCTACCTACATTCTTCGGCGCCCGACATCACTGCACTGCACGCCCACACACTGTCATGTACTGAGCTTGATGAGCTTGATACTAGGCTAGTCATTCTTCCGCGCTACATTTGTGTGGCGCCAGACATTACTGCAATGTACGCCCACACGTCTCCCAACTAGTACTGGCCAGTATCTGATAGCAAAGCGATAGCAAGTGCCGTCAAACGTTCTGAAGACGTTAGCGGAGCGACTGCTCGAGCGCCATTTTGAAGCTAGCAGTGCACTTCATTATCTACTATCTAGTACATGTAGCAAGTTTTCTTAGCACACCGATACATCTAAGGTATTTGTTTGGTTGATAGCATGTTGCAAGGCGCAGGACGAACTGTGTTCGAAAACAGTGTTCTTTACTACGACCATCCACGGTTGGCAGAGGTTGTCGTGAAAAGCACTGTTTTCGAATACAGTGCGTCCTCCGCCTTGTGACATGCTGGCAAGCAAACAACATGATTGTTTTCAACCAATCAAGGCTTATCTAAAAATCTAAGGTATTTCCTGTGGAGCTCGCTAAGTGTGTATTGCGATAATAGTACTCACTCTGCTAAAAGAATTTCACGGTTCGCGTGAGACTCGACTGAAAGCCAAGTTTTCCGCATCCGCTGTGGGAACGGCGCTTTGCTAAGCCATACTATAACATCCAGTTGGGGGGGGGGGAATTAGAACTCTCCTGTGAAAGAGAATATAACAAACAGAACTTACCCACGACAGCTGTGCTTTTGCCCTTCTTCCAGGGTCCAAGAACGTCCAGCCTCTCCTTCACTATATGCACGCATCCACAGACAGAAGAAAGAGCAGTTTCTGTTTCTTATCTCTGTGTTATACTTACTAAATTGAGAATCAGACGAAAATTGAACCTATAATAATATGTATGCACAGGTACCGGTGCCACTTGTCTGCCGCCATCTTCGAATACTCAAAATCTCCAACTGAACAACCCGTGCGGCGAGTTTATACTTCTGCTATCGCCTCAAAGTTCTACTGTTTCCTTCCGTAAATAATGGCTTTGTAACTTGACTGTATTATAAGTGGCCTGTACGCCACAATACACTGTTACACACAGACATGTAGACACAAAATAGATGCGCGTCTTGCACAAAAGTCAAAGCAATACAGAGAGCAGAGCTAACCTTTCTCAACGCCAGCAATGTTGTTCTGACGCCACGGATACATTTCCAGCTAGTATAACCCCAGCTGCAGCACGTATCGGGGGGGGGGGGGGGGGAGACTGAGGTCAATGACGACACTCTCTTTGTTGCCATAGTAACCACAAGTACTCATTGGCATCATGTCCATTGTGTCTTAATACTCTTATGTCGCTACGCACAAACCTTTTATCACTGCTTTCTCAGCCACAGGGTGCCCGATGACATAACCATGATAACGATAGCAGAGCTGTTGTGCGGGAGAGTTTGCGCCCACGGATCCTTTCCCTGATTTTGAGTACTCCAAGATGGCAGCAGACCAAGATCAAGAAAATACGGGGTTTACCCCCCCCCCCTCCAATGCAAAACACGTGTGTGGTGTGTGTACTATTGTGTCAAAAATTTTCGCGGAGAGGAAGCAGATTTGTTAGCTCCTGGTTTTCTCTTTGTTGGCCTCCTCCACGGGGCGGCCTTGGCCTTCTGGTCAGGGTCGTCCCTGGGTATTGACTGGCAGTAGGCTTTTCATGCCTTGCAGCCGGTTTCGCTCGCGCGGAAGGGCATTCAGTGAGCTGACGACCAGGGCGGGTAATTTGTTGCCGTCACCGTCTTCTTGCGTCCTTTCCGCATCCTCCGCAGTGGCGTGGCGAGCCCTCGGATCAATCCCCAGCCTGAAACAATGCTGAGTGGCGTTCGGCAAAACAAGTGGATTCCTGGATGAAAAAGGATACAGGTCACACTCGCAACAATTTATTCCTGCGCGGTGATGGTGATAGCTGGAATTGTGAATTTGTCGTGTTGTTTGGACCTGAGTGGCCAGTCGTCGTGCGGCGATGGTGTTGTGATGTTAGCTTGCTGCGCATACTCCTCGTCGTTTCGTGAAAGTACGTCTTGTGGAGCCCTTGTGGGACGTTCGGTGCCCACCCTCCAGCTCAAGATTGTGCTTTCCTGGTGCATGAAGGCCGAAGCAGTACAGACGTTATTGTTGAACAGAACATCATGTTCACATAAATATTGTTCCTTTCTTCAGTCGTTGCATGTTATAGTGGACCTACAGCAGACTGTTCATCTGGTTTGTGATATTTCCTTCCTCTGTTTGTGAGTCCCTTTCCATCAATATGGCAGCTTGTTTTGATTTCCTTTTTTTCAATTCATTTTGCTGTACTTTCTGTTTTGTTTGCGCCACTGCCCCTCACCTTGCGCTCAGTTCTCTGAGTGGAGGGCGGCGTGACCCCAAAGGGTAGCTGATTGATAGCAGTAGTAGTAGTGTGTACGTGTGTGTGTTCGCGGCGGCAGTTCTCGCAGCTAATCACGTCCACAAACGGTACACGGTGAGGCGAAGCTACATGGCACACTGCTGGAGAAGCCAAAACAAAGACAGAGTAAAGATGAGGTAGTACTTGACCTGTGAGTGGATGGCGGGGGAGAACAAAACCGCTCCCTGCACTGAGCCCGACAGGTACTATCACGCAGAGCTAAACCACGTCAGTGTATGCAATATTGTAATGACACGATCGGGACGTACGAGCCGGTTATCATTAATATTACGCGAAAAGTATGCCCTACTACAGAGCACACATGTTGTTGGTTTGACAGCATGACATATCTAGTACTATACATACAGTGTACAATCATGTACCACGCAGTCGTGAGTTAGTCGCGTGTTGCCCTTTCCTAAAGATGCCAAAATATTTCGCAACTAAACTTATGCTTTTCGCAACCATGCCAAAACAAGTGAAAGTAAGTTGCTGAAATCGCATCGATATTTTCAGAAAAAGCACAATAGTTGCTAGTCTCGCAACTCAAAATGAGCGTGTAAATCAGGCCCGCGGAACCGGTCCGGCCATGGCTGGACCACCTTTCCCAGATGGTACACCTGATTCATGCAAAACCGGTGTAAACAATTTCAGAGGGTCAGGACTAGGACTTGTGACAAGGATCGTTCAATGGACGACCTCACCTTCCACCAAAGCACTGCAGCATCGGTCTCTCCTCCATCCTATCGAAAATACATACGCGAGTCAACATTGGAAACGAGCGAAAAGCACGAGATCGAGCGTCGATCCGGATCGAGAGACATCTACGTGAATGCTGTACAAGGAAGCCGAAAAAATGATCGGTCTGAATGCACAATGTTCACAGCGTGTAACATGTTTAGGAGCATGAACAGACTTGGAATGAGTCCTTGACTCCTTAATCCTTGTCCTTTTTTGTTGAACATTTACACAGCATCCATGACATAGCGGCATGCTCAGTGCTGCCACATGAGAAGTACACTTGTAATGATGATTGTATGCAATGTTTCCGTGCTTCTTGTTGAAGCGGAGCATCACGGACATTTCAATGGTCTCCTCCAACGAATTACTTGCTCCAAGGCGCTCCTCTGCAAACAGTTGCGGAAAAGATGCGAAGTAGTTTGTGAGTTTCAAATTCAACTATGTCAAAAGAAGTCTTGAGGCCTCCTGCAGCTTCATAATATAAAAAGAAGTTTGAGTGGACACATCCATTCCAGTCTCCCTGCAAATCTGAACCAATTCCATTTTTAAACAGTTAACGTTTCGGCACACGGCTTCATCAGGTAACTGAACAATGATACTGTGCCAGCTACAGAGCAGCAGTTTATATACAGGGCGTTCCGCCAAAAGGGTGTAAGTCCTCTCGCTCCGAAGAAGGGAAGAAGTGTCAATGGGAGCCCACACCACAGCACAGGTGAGAAGACCAAGGTGCCGCCATACAGCCAAGTTGAATCACATGCATACTGAGGCGAGAAGGTAAAAAGTGTCACGTCAGGTTACTTCAAGATGTACATGCATGCAAAGGTGAGAAGACAAAATAATGTGTCACATCAGCTTACTAGTAGTACTGTCATTGTAATTATTCGCCCATCTTTCAATACACCTCGTTATGATAGAAGGTCCCATCCGGTGCTCGTGTTAACCGGTGGGTGTGTGTTCCTGACCTAGACGGTCTCGCGCAGTTTTCGATGAGCCCTATCACAGCGAACGACCAAGAATGTTAGCTATAACAAAGTGATGATGAAGGACAGAGGACCACGGCACAGGACGGCCACGGCTAACTTCGAGAACTCAACGTCCTTGCACTGTCTATCACCTTTCTCATTCCTTCCTTCCTTAGCTACTGTGTCTCAGATGACATCGAGACAGCTACAATAGTAGTCAATACTATCAGTCGCTGAAGAACTAAGGCTGAGAGAGTTTAGTCTCGAGTCGTAGCCTAAAGTTAAAACCGTTCCTATTTGCATGCATCACACTCTATGCACAGTTGAGTCACAGTGATACATAATCGATCATTGGTACACTGAGCTTGGTTCATGCTGCTTATTGCTAGGCTGGTCGTTCTAGCGGGCTACATTCTGTGGCGCCAGACAGTACTGCACTGTACGCCCACACGTCTCCCAAACTAGTTCTGACCATGTAACAATACTCAGCAATAGCAGTTACCAAAACTAATGCTGTCAAACGTTCAGAAGACGTTGGCAAAGCAACTGCTCACGCGCCATTTTGCAGCTAGCAATGCACTTGCATATCCATGATCTAGTGCATGTACATACATGATGTAGTGAGTATTAGGTGCACTGGTGCATCTAAGCCTAAGCCAAGGTATTTCCAGTGGAGCTCGCTAAGTGTGTATGGTGATAATAGTACTCACTCCACTAAGGGCCTAAGCCTAAGGCATGCTGTTATAGCCAATTGGAAAAGAAATTATAACGGTCCCAGTGAAAGAGATAACAAACAGAACTCACCCACGGCAGCTTTTCAGTAGTCATTCTTCCAGTGTCCAAGAACGTCCAGCCTCTCCTTCACACATATATACAGCCATTACAGTTATCGTTACCGGTAATTGTCTACCGCCATCTCGCAATACTCAAAATCTCAAATTAAACAACCATTTCGGCCAGCTTCTCCTTCTGCTATCGCCTTAGAGTTCTTCTGTTTCCTTTCGTAAAGAATGGCGTTGAAACTTGAAAGTAATTGTTCTCTACGCTAAAATAAACTGTCTTCCACAAAATAGCCGCGTGTCTTCCACTAACGTTTCACAGAGAGCAGAGCTAACCTACCCCAGCGTCTGCAATGCTGAAACGACGAGGCCGCGCCGTGCGAGCCAGCAATAAGAGCTACTGTCACGCCGAGTACATGCCATTGGCATTGTATTATCACTTGTAATAAAAAGTTGTATTGCTGACGACTGCTTCCACAGACGTTGTCATGGTGAGGCGATGCTTTGCAGCACACAGCTGGATACGTACTCCTTGCAGCTCCCTACACAGCAGTACTGAAGTCTGAAGCACGCTAAAGCCAAAAGGTGGGGAAGTGCTTGACTTGTGCGTGGATCATGTATTATTATTATTTAATATTATTATTAGTGCAATTAGGATATATAATCGATGCAGACATGGCCAGACAACAACGAGTTCATGGAATTTTTAAGGATTTTTATGTTATTCAAAATCGATTTTCGTGTTCCGCTCATCAGTGAATAGTATCGGAGCTGAGGGTACTGTGTACAAAAAATAGAACATTTTATAACAGCATAATTAATTAAAAGTGTGAACAACAAAAATAGAATATTTTATAACAGCATAATTAATTAAAAGTGTGAACAACAAAAATAGAACATTTTATAACAGCATAATTAATTAAAAGTGTGAACAACAAAGGAAGTGCTACAGCATTACATAATAGGTGTCAAACATAGTGCTAACGAGTAACGTATATAACTGACTGCAGCCACAAAGCAAGAGGTGATACAGTGCAACATGACACAACATTTACATCTGATAACCAGCTACGAGAACAACTTTAGCGCGACTACATGCTTCTTTTGTTTACAAAGAACAGGATTATGCACACGAATACATACAGCTTCCAGAACCTTCAACTGCTTAACATAACTTGCACGGCACAAAACAGAAAAGTGAGAATCATCGTACACACTAAGACAATCTGGACGTGATAACAAGTGACACAATACAGCTGACTTTTTGCTCACGTCGCTCTCTTCCGTCTCATCCCGCTCCTTTCCTTCAACCTCCTCCGCCTTATCCTCGTCCTCCGTCTCATCTTCATCATCATCGTCCTCATCACCACCATCATCATCATCAGTCACTTCCTCATCATCCGTTTGATGCTCAGTCTCACTGCACTCCTTATCAACCTCCAACATGGCTCCATCATCCCCACCAGCATCACAAGTCGTTTGACCGCTGCTCCGCGTCACCGTTGCTGGGTTCTCTGCTACTGCGCACCCATTTCCACTGTCCATTTTGCGTGGGCCAAGTCCATTCCGTGCATAAATTTCAAGTGAATAGTTTGCTGTTCTTCTTTTGGGTCTATGGGTGAGGATATTGGTTTCATTTTGGTTTGCCGATGATCTCCCTCTTTGTCCAGACACAGTCGGCACCGTGGATCCCAGCACCGGGGGGACCACCGTCTCGGTAGTCAACAAAGGTAAAGGGGGTGGCTCAGGCGGAGGCAAGGGCAACTGCCGAGGTGAAGGTTCAGTGTCTCTCGGTGGCCCCTCCTCCATTCCAGGACGATGATGTTGTGCTAGAGTAGGCTCCGCTGCCGTTCGCAGTGGGTCGAGAAGTGGTGGCCAGGATGAGCGGAACACGAAAATCGATTTTGAATAACATAAAAATCCTTAAAAATTCCATGAACTCGTTGTTGTCTGGCCATGTCTGCATCGATTATACTCCTAATTGCACTAATAAAATTGCTTTCTCCACGCCGACTCTTTAAATTATTATTATTATTATTATTAAGAAAGGGTTTGCTCCCCACACCGGAGCTCGCGCTATTCCGCCGACTTTACTTGACACTTGACTGACTCACGACTGCCATCCAGAGCACACGAGAAGTCCATCGAACCTTCGACTCGGCAAACCTGCAAGAAAGCACCACTCCCTGCTCAATACACAGTGTTTCGGGGAATTCACCCCTCATCAGTTGAGCTTGAGTAGGCTGAGGAAGATTGTGCCTGAAGAGCACCACTTATATAGTGCTCTCCAGGCACAAACATCACCAGGGATACAAACTTACAGAGACGCTCCATTTCCAGCGCGATAAACACCTCGTGAACACCAGATAGCAGCGTGAGTCAGTGTCGCTCCTGGACGGTGAGACCAACCATCTTCAGGCACAATCTTCTTCAGCCTACTCAAGCTCAACTGATGAGGGGTGAATTCCCCGAAACACTGTGTATTGAGCAGGGAGTGGTGCTTTCTTGCAGGTTTGCCGAGTCGAAGGTTCGATGGACTTCTCGTGTGCTCTGGATGGCAGTCGTGAGTCAGTCAAGTGTCAAGTAAAGTCGGCGGAATAGCGCGAGCTCCGGTGTGGGGAGCAAACCCTTTCTTACAAATCATCGCCGAAGTCGCAACCACTACTTCGTACTGTTGTGCCCAGCGCGGGCTTGTGACTAGTTGGTTTGGAGGTGACAGCGTTGCGAATGACCGAGGGTCCTCAACGTCTGGTCTCACCGTCCAGGAGCGACACTGACTCACGCTGCTATCTGGTGTTCACGAGGTGTTTATCGCGCTGGAAATGGAACGTCTCTGTAAGTTTGTATCCCTGGTGATGTTTGTGCCTGGAGAGCACTATATAAGTGGTGCTCTTCAGGCACAATCTTCCTCAGCCTACTCAAGCTCAACTGATGAGGGGTGAATTCCCCGAAACACTGTGTATTGAGCAGGGAGTGGTGCTTTCTTGCAGGTTTGCCGAGTCGAAGGTTCGATGGACTTCTCGTGTGCTCTGGATGGCAGTCGTGAGTCAGTCAAGTGTCAAGTAAAGTCGGCGGAATAGCGCGAGCTCCGGTGTGGGGAGCAAACCCTTTCTTACAAATCATCGCCGAAGTCGCAACCACTACTTCGTACTGTTGTGCCCAGCGCGGGCTTGTGACTAGTTGGTTTGGAGGTGACAGCGTTGCGAATGACCGAGGGTCCTCAACGTCTGGTCTCACCGTCCAGGAGCAACACTGACTCACGCTGCTATCTGGTGTTCACGAGGTGTTTATCGCGCTGGAAATGGAGCGTCTCTGTAAGTTTGTATCCCTGGTGATGTTTGTGCCTGGAGAGCACTATATAAGTGGTGCTCTTCAGGCACAATCTTCCTCAGCCTACTCAAGCTCAACTGATGAGGGGTGAATTCCCCGAAACACTGTGTATTGAGCAGGGAGTGGTGCTTTCTTGCAGGTTTGCCGAGTCGAAGGTTCGATGGACTTCTCGTGTGCTCTGGATGGCAGTCGTGAGTCAGTCAAGTGTTAAGTAAAGTCGGCGGAATAGCGCGAGCTCCGGTGTGGGGAGCAAACCCTTTCTTACAAATCATCGCCGAAGTCGCAACCACTACTTCGTATTATTATTATTATTATTATTATATCGATTTTTTCTTCAGACTTTTCCCGTTTGTCTCTTTCCCTCAAAACCAGTCAATATTATTATTATTATTATTATTATACCGGTAATACTCACCACTGCGTGGGAGTACAATCATGGTTTTTACAGTGTTTCAAGCCTCTTGTACGGGAAAAACCCATCTTTATCAATGATAGAAATGCAACTAAAATCCAAAACAACTTTAAGATGTAAAGAACTCAAAGCAAATGAAAAAAACTCAAAGCAAGTGAAAAATAACTCAAAACAAATGAAAAGGAACCCAACCAGCCGCACGCGGAGCACACAACTTCACAAGGGGCATTTTTATTCATTGTTCCACTGTGTAGTTGGCGCCACTAGCGCTATCTTTTTAAAGGTGCTAAATTGTCAATGCTCTGACCGCCAAAGTGCCGGTTATAAGGTCTTGCTTGCTACCTTGTTAATCACCAGAAAAGTGATGGTACGAAAGGCCTAGTCGAAACTATGTGTATATGGCTTCTGTACTCTGTGATTCGTGTGCGGATACTCCTGAAAACATAGTGATTGTGTAAAACATAGCAACAGCTGTTTACACATCGTTGAAAACTCACATCACTTGCTATCTGTAGAGTGTGTATGAATATGGTAGGAGGGTTCTTGAACGCATTCACACGATCCAGGACTCCAGGTCGGTTTCAGTGATCCCCTCAAAAACCGCGGAACGCTCTCGCATGCTGTCATCAGTTCACACTTCACCGAGAAGACAACTAAATCTTGTAGAGTCTACTCCTTGTCTGGCCCAGACACCTGGACACCGGTTCGTGGAGATACTCAGCAAGGTCTGACAAGTTACAACTAAGGGCGCGTTCGAATTGTCACTCTTTGACTTTTCGAGGAGTTTCGTTTTTCTGAAGAGGTGGCTTATTGGTCTCTTCAGAAAACGAGTCTCCTTGAGGCTCCACAACCTCATCCAATGCCGATGGCAGAGGTGGATTAGTTCCGAAGAGTTTGGAATAGCTACGTCGAGATGGTTGATCGGATCGCGGATGTCTCTTTAGATTTTTGGTTTGAGGAAAGCAAATCAGCACACGAAGCACAGAAGCCATATAAGGTAGTTAGCAAGTCCTTAGAACCACTAGCGCTATTTTTCAAGTGCTATTGTTGTCAATGCTCTGTCCGTCAAAAGTGCCGGTTATAAGGACTTGCATACTACCTTGTTAATCACCATTGCATTCGACCTGAAGAGTGATTTATTTTTTTATTTTTATTGGGAACACAGCCCTACAAAGAGACATGTGGAGACAAACACAAGACAAGACACAGGGGATGTAGGGACGACGTGCCGATGTACAGGGAGCAACTCGACCGACCAGGGGTCTCGGCGTTAGCGTTGCAACCTGGCATCGAAAAAAAAGGGGGGGGGTGCATGGTCAGGTAGCAAAAATAATAATTTGGTGCGAGAAAGGGGCGCTAGTATTGCACCAAATAATAATTATAAATACGTGTAATGACTAAACCAGAAGGGAAAATGAAGAAAGAGAACAATAATCATAACAAGCAAGTAGTAGTAGAGAGGTAAATACTAAATGGGTCTCAAATCTCAATATCATCGTCACAGATACTGTGTGGACCACAGCCATCTCTTTCGGATTAGATCCTTACATACGTTGACCTTGAAGGTTTGGAGGCGTCTTGAATGAGGCTCGTGAAGCAGGAGGTCCGCAGGCAGGTTGTTCCAGGGTGTGATGGCGAGGAAGGGGAAGGATCGCAGGAGGTAGTCAGGGGCTGTGCGAGGGGGTGTCCACTTCAGCTGAAAGGCATGGTGCGTCTGACGTTTTTGCCGTGTGCACATGCTAGCTACGGCAGGGGGCTTGGTTGGTGGCAGCATGGCCTTTACCTGGGGAGGCCCTGGAATGTAGTGCAGCTTGAACAAGTATGACAGGGCTGCCACCATCCGACGAAGCTGAAGACTTTGGAGGATGGTTCCAGGTCCCAGGAAATGCAGGGCACGTTGCTGAACCTTGTCCAGCTGGGCCATGTTAGTTGCGGCTGCGCTCGACCAGGCCAGTGGGGCATATTCAAGTAGGGGTCGCACGAATCCCTTGTAGACCGTCACTCGACCATGGTCGTCCAGGATGGGTGCTGCCTTTCGTAGGAAACCCAGCCTTTGGGAGGCGCGCAGTGCAACACTGCGAGTGTGCGCTCTGTAGGAGAGAGTAGGGTCGAGCATGACTCCCAGCAGCTTCAGGGTATCTGTCTCCTGGAGTGCTTCACCTCCAAAGGTGACTGGTGGAGTGCAGGGGGGAACGTGCTTGCGATGTAGAGTCATGCGCTGTGTCTTGGCTGGCTCAAAACAGATACGCCACTTGCGGCCCCACTCCTCAAGACTGTTGAGGGACCCTTGGAGGGAGGCGGTGGACTGTTGGAGATCGTCAGTTGGCTGTACTAAGCTGTAGAGTGTGGTGTCGTCTGCAAAGCTGCTCAGCTGCGTTCCTGGAGTTAAACATTGTTCAATGTCACAGGTGTATAGAAGGATACAATGAAAGGCCTAGTCGAAACAATTTTAATAATTAGCAAGACGAAATTCGCGTTCGCGTTCGCTCTCCAAGGAAAGTCGAACTCAGTGACGGAATTCGCGTTATGAGAAGGATTAGCAAACAGAATTCGCACATGCATGACGTTGACACGACGTACATTGTGTACAGACAGTACAGCGTGGTAATTTATGACTGCCCTGACACGAATCCGCGATTCGTGTTCCGACTACTTTTCCGAACGAAAAATGCGAAAGTTCGCAATCCGCGAACTGAAAAATGTTTGCGAACGCGTTCGTCTTGCTAATCCTCCGAATGGCTTCTGTGCTTCGTGTGCTGGGATGTCTTTGTCGCCATGACAATTCCACCGAAAAACTCTAAAATGAGAGAAACAGTTCTATTGGGACACTTCAACTAATATCTTTTAGGAATTAAATTATTTGTTCGAACAGTTGATGAAGATGATTCGAACGCGCCCTAAAAGACTAACATTCTGAGGCTCGTTGTCGATAACCATGCTGTCCCGTCTTCCGCAGCCGTGCGCGTGCCATATGCCCAGAGCTATCACTACGTATACGTATGCCGGCGTCAAATGTCGGAAAACGGAATGCCATCGGGAAAACATAAATTATTTTTCGCCACCGTAAGCCACATTATTTTCAGCAATGCACTGTATTCATCATTGTCATTCAATGACTTGATCCTGATGATGAATTGAGGAGGACTCACACTCAGTCACAGAGACTGAGAGGACACCCAGTGACTGCGATTATTTGTTGAAGCAGGCAACGAAAAGAAAGTGCCACGGAGTCGGAGGCAATACATGAGTGTACATTGTTCATTGACTGAGCGACTCAGAGCTAGCGACGAAGTAAACATTAGTTGAGTGTGAGAAGGCAGGAGATAGGATAGCCAAACCATCTGGAGCTGTCGCATCACTGGGCATGGGTCCAAAGCCATTGTACACAGCGGCTCCGCTTATCACCGCGGTCGCGATACTGGGCTTGCTAGTTTTCTCCACGCAAGCAGCTGCAAACTTCCGTCAGATAGATGAACCTGTTGTCGATGTGCACGCTAGCAGCAGTGAGGATGAAGCTGGTGCCGCTACACTGGGCCATGCAGGAATGGCTGACTTGCCACCACTGTTGGAGTTCGCCAATGGCACGGCGGTCAAGACGCTAGCGGACTGGCAGGAGAGACGGGCGGAGATGGGCCGGCTGCTTACGGAACATTACTACGGGTTAGTCGATCATTCGCACTTTACACTTACCCTTACACCCTCCTGCCCCCCCCCCCCCCCAATCCCCCACCCCGGGGGGGGGGGGGGAGGGGGGTACATGACTGTACTGTAGACCGATCTACAGTCCTGCTCAATGAAATCTAGTCGTCGCGTCACTCAAGTACGCGCCGGGCGTTGCGCAGCCCTAGACCTGTGAACACTGGGCTGCGAAATGGTGCACGGCGCAAACTTGAGTGACCCGACTGGATTTCATAGAGCAGCACTGTACATGGATTTCATTGAGCAGCACTGTACATGGATTTCATTGAGCAAAACTGCACATCGTATAGTGCTGCTCTATGAAATCCAGTCGCGTCACTCTAGTTTGCGCCTTGCACCATTTCGCAGCCCAGTGTTCGCAGGTCTAGGGCTGCGCAACGCCCGGCGAGTACTTGAGTGTTGCAACGACTAGATTCCATTGAGCAACACTGTAACAGTAACATGATTGTACTAGTAGTATTAGGGAGGTTTAGGAAGACGACATTCGCGTCCGTGTTCACATTCCAAGGGAAGTCAAACTCGGTGACGGAATCCGCGTCATGAGAAGGATTAGCAAACGGAATTCGCACATGCATGACGTTAGCACATCGTACATGTACCTGATTGTGTACAGACAGTACCGCGTACTAAATTTACGACTGTCCTGATGCGAATCCGCGATTCATTCAATACCTGCTTGTCTTCTGATGACTCTTCATCATCTTCATAAGGAAGAAAACAAGACTTTTCAGGAGTTTTGCTGTTGAGGAGAGTGGCTGGTGAAATGTTCGTGCTGGTATCTGTAAGCGTCACATGGTCTTGTCTGGTCACAAGATGAACCTAGATTGACTAGGCTTGCTTCACTGTTGCAGTATTGTGTTAGTACGCTTTGCCTTCACGGCATACGAGTACTCTCGGCGCACTGACTACAATCAACTTCGCTTATAACGACACTCGACGGGGCATCAGAAAAGTGTCGTTATACCCGAAGTCTCATTATATATATTACAGTTGGATGAGACTTTGCTCTGGGCATGGAAATTCTGTCGTTTTTCGCGAATTGTCGTTATATCCGCAGTCGTTATTAGCGAAGTTGACTGTACACCCGTCTGTGTGTCCATGTGTGTGTGTGTGTGTGTGTGTGTGTGTGTGTGTGTGTGTGTGTGTGTGTGTGTGTGTGTGTGTGTGTGTGTGTGTGCATGTGTGTGTGTGTGTATGTGTGCATGTGTGTGTATGTCCGTGTGCGTATGTATGTGTATGTGTGTGCATGTGCGTGTATGTGCCTGAATGCATATTTTGTGCACATACACCCGTATGCCGCTTCAGATCGTTTCCGACTGAACCCCCACCCGAGCTCCTCAGCAGCGAATTAGTCAACGTGTCTCGCAATCGCGGAGTTGCTCGCTATCACGCACGCCTTACATTCAACACCCATCCGCAGGCACAGATTGTGGTGGAGATACTGGTGCCGGAACACTGTACTAACTCCACCCCGTGTCCTGCATTCATGACTCAGACAAATCACCGCAAGTGGGCGAGCGTGGGGGTGTCGCGGGGCTACGCGGCGTTCGTCTATCCCGGCGCCGATTCCAACGATCAGACGGACGTGTTTCGCATGGCCTACCCGGCCGCCACGTGGGGTCTGATCGCCCGGCGCGCCTGGCTTGCTAGTCGCGTGGTCGACTACGTGATGACGTGTGCGTGGATTGAGCACGCTCACATTGCCATAACAGGTCACAGCCGCAACGGCAAACAGAGCATGATAGCGGCGGCGTTTGATCAGCGCATCACCGCCGTCATTGACTCGTCATCCGGAGCTCCGGCCATGTCGCCGTACCGATTCACCTCGGCGTATACGTTCAGCGAGGATCCGTATGGTACGTGGCCGAATGCACCGCCCGGCGTAAACTGCTCGTGCACGCGCAACCCGACAGACCCGCGACCAAAGTCGGGCAAATGCTGCTGGTGGCTGCCTAGCGTGATGAACCTCAGTGGCTTTGAGAACAGCGTGCCGATCGATTCCCACGCTCTGCTCGGCCTGATAGCGCCGCGCTCGTTCCTCAGCCAAACGGCGTTTAACGACCCGTGTGATCCGTCGTTTGCCGTCGAGCGCGCCTACCTCGCAGGAAAGAAATCCTACAAGTTTCTCGGCAAGCCGGATAACATACGAATTCGCTGGCGTCCCGGCGGTCACCATGGTTTCGAGATGCTGGACAGTTACTTCGACTGGTTTGACTTAAGCTTTGGAAGATACCCAGCGGCTCATCGCGGTGTGAACGATGTGTTTCCCGAGCAGTTGATTCATGCCTTCAACTGGACAGAGTGGAATAGCAGTGAGACCACAATGCACACGGCATCCCCGCCGCCAGCCAGCGCAGCACTGATCGATCGCGTCAACTGGATGACCGGCATCGCCGACCAGCCTGTGGGTCTAGCGTGGAGTCCGGCAGGGTCCTACTCTGTCAGCTACCAGCCGTACGTGGAGGAGATGCTATACCGCCAGAACGAGCTCCACACAGTCTTTGAAGGAACGGCGAAGATGACGATATCATTCGGCCGCGCCCTCATAGGCACACTCTACTTCCCGGCAAACGCCAGCGCAAAGTCCGCCCCTCTGCCGGGTATCGTGTGGCTCCATCCGTACTCCTACCAGCAAGGATACACGGAGAGCTATCCGAAAGCCCCGCACCGCATGCCCTGGCGGCTGGCACAACAGAGTAACGCCGTCGTGCTGGCCTTTGATCAGATCGGCTTCGGTCGACGACTCCGCGAGGGGCGCCTGTCCGAGTTCTATTCCCGCTGGCCAAACTGGTCGTTGCTCGGTCACATGATCCAGGACGTCCAATCAGCAGTGGACGCGCTACTCTCGCCGCGTGATGCAGCCGACTGCCCGGATGGCGAGCCACTCAGCGCTCTCTATTTGGCGACGACGGTGCCACGAGTGGAGCGTGTCACGGTGGTCGGGTATGCCATGGGAGCCATCGTAGCACTTCACAGCGCCGTCCTGGACACACGAATAGCAGCCGTGGCGGCCTGCACTGGCATATCACCGTGGAAACAGCAAGCGCTGGCTCGCGAAACTGGCGGCAATGCACGTCTGTACGAGTGGCACGCGCTGCTGCCGCGTCTCGGCTGGTTTCAGGGTCGTGAGGCCGAGGAGTTGGCGTACGATTACGACGACCTGCTCGTGGCACTGCGGGATCGTCCCACGCTGCTCTACAACTCCGAGATTGATCGTCAAGTTGACCAGACCGCGTTCTCCAAGATGGTGTCTAGCGCAGCTGCTCGCGTTCAGAACAAGTGGAAGCTGAAGTTGCACAGCGGGGCCGAGTTCTCCAACAAACTGGATGCTAACATGCAAACAACTGTCACGGAATGGATCAACTCTCTAGATTTTTCTTAGATTGTAAAATCGTTACGATTTGCAGCAACTCCCTTGGTCTTGCTCCATATTCCCTCATCTTTGTCACTTACAGAGGCCATCCGGCATTATTGATAATTTCCATGGAATGAAAAACTTTAGTCAGGAGAGAATTACTTATGAACTTATGACCTCCCCACCCAGCCCTCTGAGCAAAAAAAATTGTCTTGACATCTAGACTGGATGTTACAGCTATCAACACTATTATTTAGTTTTTCAAAATAGGCTAAAGATCTCCTCGGCCCACTAACTGCAAAAAAGAAACTTTAGTTTCGCGTGAAAGATCGATAAAAGTGGGCTTGTAGGATACCACCCCTCAACCAACACCACGACCAACGCCACGACCAACACCATGACCAACGCCACGACCAACACCACGGCCTAGCAAGTAGCTAACAACAACAGAGATCCACTGACGATGTTGTTCAGAACAACGAAACGTCTGGAAAAGTATCGTCAATATTTCTATCTTTATTTTAATTAAAATAATATACATGCATTTAAACACACGGCGAGGAGACAATAATTTGATAACCGCAATCAATAAAACTAGCTGAACCGACATTTGTGTACTTTATTCATGCAATGTAAAAACGGTGGAGACGATGTGCAATAAAACGATGAAAATATGAAGAAATGGTGTAGGGAAAAAATATATGGATTCAAACAAGTTTTCGTACAACACTCATCAGGAATCGTCGTTGTACTAAAGGACACTGAAACAAAAATTGAACTATTATAGAAAATCTAAGTTACAGAAATAACACTAAGAGCAACAACAGTGAAATTTACAAGTGTGAATTTTAACAATCAAAGCGAGAAATGAACAAAGGAGAAAGGAAGGAAAGACAACGTGATAACACATAACAGCAGTACATTACACCTAGAACATTAACGGCCAAGCTTGGCCGCACTAAACACGACACGTTACTTGAACAATTTCAACCCAATTATACTATCTTTCTGTACACACAAATTAGGCTTGTACAGACGCTGATAGATAGCTTCCAACACTTTTAACTGTAGTCCATAACCATGACGACCACGGCACAATACAGTGAACGAAGAGTCGGAATACGAATTGCAACAATCAGGACTAGCTAGCAGATGATTGTACACTGAAGACTTGCTACCACGAAACCTACGCACAACACTAACACTCTCACCGGCATTCTCACCATCACTCCCATCACTGCTCTCCGACTCACTGCTCCTTCCGCCGTCCGCTCCATCCTCCGCTTCCTCTGTACTCTCTCTGTCTCGTCCATCCCGCCTGACCGGGTCCATTGAAGTCAACTCGGCCGTCACCCTGCTATCACATCCCTCCTTTCGCCCTTGTCCGCTGAGTGCGTAGCTTCTGTTGTAGTTGGCTGTTGATCGTCTTGGTCTTTCAATTGTGGGCTTGGATGGTGGATTAGTTGTGGTTGCTGTAGATTGCGTTGTTGGTGTTGGTGTGGGAGCTACTGATATGCAAGGTGGGTCTTTTTGAGTCGGCATTTGTAGTGTTAATGCAGCTGTCAGTGTTGCTCGCGGTCTCCCACTGGCAAGCTCCACCGCCGCAAGAACCGATGGTGGAGGATCGGGAGGAGGCAGTGGGACCGGGACCGCAAGCGGCACCACCTCAGCCAAAGCCGCCGGGGGCACTGACGAGGGAACCACCGACGGCCGGAGCAAAGGCGGCGACACAAGCCGACCCGATGAGCCACCACGCCCATTCTCCTCCCCCACCGCCACCAGCGACGGCGGAGCAAGCACAGTCCGTGAGCCAGGGTCCGCGGGTTGTGTAGGCAACGGCTGTGTGGTTATTGGTTGTTTTCTAGGTCGCCCTCGCTTCGGTCTTTGTTGTTGTGCGCAAGGTGGAAGTATGTGACGTGGTGTGTGTTGTTTGATGCGTGCGTTCAGGTGCTGAACAGTCCCACCAACATACCGACTAGCGCATTGTCGGCATTCAAAGTTGTAAATAAGATGACTTAGGTGATGGGCTGGTAGGACATCCTTCCGCACCGTAAACGCACGCATCGTCGTAAAGACGGGCACAAAGTGTACTGCGTAGTATGTTCGACGAACAACAGACTTGACTGCACTACAAACTTTAGTCGACTCCTGCCCTTTCCACGGCAAACATAAATAAACGGGACAACGAGCAGGACCAATCATAGGAGCCTTCGTAGTTTGTTCGACTTTCAACAACTTCTGCAACAAAAACTCAGGGTACCCGTTCTTGACAAAAACTGACCGGAGAAAATCAAGCTCTTCCTGCAGCTTACAGGACGAACAAATACGCTTCGCACGATCTACAAGGTTACGCACTAAGTTTACTTTATATTGAGACGAACAATAAGAGTCATATACAATGTACTGACCAGTAAACAAATATACATGCATACCAGTCTTTGGTCTAGAAAGAATTCTTTTTTGATATTACAATGAGAGAGGCTAACCAATGGGTTGTCCAACAACAACACAATCGTGGGCACCCACATCCATCAAGACAAGCTCCAGAGCCACTCCTGGCCATCCGGCCCCCAGCCCCCCCCCCCCCCCCCCCACCCCCCCAACTGAATACAACAATGACATAGTCTGACATTCGACACCGTCATAATCATCAGAACTACGCATAAGCAATCATCAGACAGCTGCTGTGCCTGGTGATTAACTGAAGTCCTAGCCGCGGAACAGTTGTCAACACTTCATTGCATGTGTACACGAGATCTACTAACAAAGTCAGCTCCACTCAGACAGAAGAAGGAATGCACCAGTATCGAAATAAATACATGTACGGAAAAAATGAAAATGTACTACTGTGTTACGAGAATTTGGTTAGTTGAACTGGCCCTGAACGGGCGAAAAATGAGACATTGCCCATTGCGCGGAGAAGTGCAAATAATACGTTGTAGCGGCCAGTATATACGCAGACCATAGGCTGCTGGTCACATGGTTAATCTATGCTTGCTCAACGAATGGGTATGTAGTGCCGGCAAAGAGAGAGAGGGGGAGAGAGGGGGGGGGGGGGGGGGGAGGAGGTTACATGCAACGAAGAGGAACGAGATCAGAAAAGAACTTGACAATTTCTTCTTTTCGTCGTCACTCCACGGACACTAGTCCAGTGTGTCGAATGTTGGTATCCTTGCCAGAGGCATTGTTATCAGCAATCATTAGAGGTTCATCATTGTCTTCTCAATGCAGTCTAAACGTGCATCGCAACTGAGCGCATGACCCCGGACTGGCCGAGGAACACAGACATGAGAAGAAGTATGATATGCACAATTTCTTCCATGCCACCATCCCGCCTACGGTTCAATATTGTTCCTTTTACAAATGTTCCAAACTAGTTGCTAGTGTGTGTGTGTGAGAGAGAGAGAGAGAGAGAGAGAGAGAGAGAGAGAGAGAGAGAGAGATAGAGAGAGAGAGAGAGAGAGAGAGAGAGAGAGAGAGTAAAAGAGAAAGAGTTGAGATGCTGTGACACACGGCAGACTATGCCTAGAGGGTTGGCGGAGAGTCTGGCTGGAATGGCGGCACACAGCAGACGCTGAGATAAGGCAGGACTTGAGCAAGATCAGCGGAAGAGGGAAATCAAGCCAGAGTTGTGTGGCTAGGTTTTCGTAAAAAATAAAATAAAAAGAGCAAACTTTCAGGTGCACACGTAGCACTTCACTCAATCCGCACATATTGGAACACAAAGGCAGTCTGAAAACAGTCACGCACTTGCGCCAAACTCAATTGGCATTGGCTTGGTGAAGCACGTTAGCTGCTGGTATAGGAGTCACTGAGGCCGAGCACACACTGGGTCAAAACCACCCCAGTGTCCTGCTATTCAAGTGTATCTACACTGATACAACAAGGAAGCCCGGATCTTGCCCAGCTGTGCAGTCAAGACTACACAGCTTCACATACTGGTCAGAGTATGGGTGTGCAGTCTCCTAGTCTCTTAGTCTGGCAGCGCTTGCCTACTGGAACCCTGTTTATGAGGACCAGCAAGAGTGACCAGTGGCAGAAAACTTCACACAAGCTTACTGCTGTGCTCAGACCGTGTCACTATCGTCTTCACACCATGTCGCCGCCGTTCTCAGACCTTGTCACCGACGTTCTGCTCCGCTGCGTCCACGACAACAACATCGTCCTTGACGGCATAGTTACCACGACGATGATGGTGTTGTCGTTGCTGCGATCTACTCTGGTGACCGCTGGTTCCGCCACTACTAAGACTACCACTACCTGTGCCTGTGGCGGCCGCTGCTGCTGCTGATGACCTTGAGTGGTGCGATCTGCTGCTACTGCTACCACTTGAGCCATGCCGAGTACTGCCAGCAGGCATGTCAGCAAGCTGCTCAGCTGCCTGCTCGGCGGTACGTACTGCTGCTGGTGCTGCCGGGTTTGCTGTGCCCACCGCCACTGCTGCTGCTGCTGCTGGCATTGGTGCATGATTACGCGATCGCCGACTGGCGCTGGGACTTGATGTCGCCGCTGCTGTTGCTGCCCCCGCCGCGTGCCTGGCAGAATCGCGGGACGAGCGGGAGGATCGGCTGCTGCTGCTGCTACTACCACCGGCATGGTGTGCTGCTGCTGCTGATGATGATGATGCTGAGTGATTAGTTGTGTTATTAGCCGTCGAGGTTGTTCCGGCTGTGCCCGCACCCTCCACGCCGACCGGGTCTTGACGCGGAGGCATGTACCCATCCACGTTCGTCGCATGCTCACCGGAATCCGGCAATTGGCTGCTACCGGTTGCCATGCCACTGCCTCTCCGTCGATCACTGCCACTACTACTGCCACTGCTAGGCATGACAAAGCTTGAGCCGAGCGCTGATGAAGCCGGTAGATCACCGCGCAGGCTGCGTGGCGCCAAGCCACCGGGAGACCTCAGTGCAAGACCTGCCGCTGCCGAGGTCGACGCGGAGGTTGCCATGGCACCCGATGTGCCCTTCTGCGCTGCCGCCGCCGCTGCTTGTGACTGCTGCTGCTGCTGGTGGTGTTGCTGCTGCATGGCCTGTCCTGGTTTGATGCCCACCGGGGTGCTGGCAGTGGACACTGCATGACCGGGACGTACAGCCTTGACGATTGTACTGCGATGCACACCACCGCCTGCAGGGGGAGGGGGGGGGGGGGGCATGTCATGTCACAATGAACAACAGAGTAAGAATAGAGAAATTATGTGGCCTAGAGTAAGAATAAAGAAACTGTATGGCCTAAGCAGCATGTTTTGTATTGCACTTGGGCATTCCCAACTGATCCTAAGGTCTTCTTACGATAGTGAAATGGAGAGAGAGAAAGAGGGGGGGGGGGGGGGGGAGAGAAAGAACAAGATGACCAGGTGGCACTGATGCAAAACAAACATGTCAGAGAGCCACTTACGTTTCATTCTTGCCTCGTAGGTTTTCTTGATTTGATCGAGTTCCACAGTTAGTCTAACAGAGTAATGTACAAACACACACACACACACACACACACACACACACACACACACGCATGCACGCACGCGCACACATACACACACACACAGATGCAGACAGATAGATTAACACTCATGCGAACAAGTGCCAGTACAATCATACATGTGTGCGACTATGCGGGCACACAAACAATTGGCTTGCTTCTATGCTAAGGCAGTAGCAGCAGCAATTTCTACAACACGATTATCACTGCCACAGTAGTTCATGTACCACAACAAAGCACACATGAATTCATTGCAAACAGGACCTCCTAGAACAGCAGAAGCAGTTAAAGAAGAAAAGACACAGCAGCAGCAGCAGAAGAAGAAAAGAAACAGCAGCAGCAGCAGCAGAAGAAGAACAGAAACAGCAGCAGCAGCAGCAGCAGCAGCAGCAGCAGAAGAACAGAAACAGCAGCAGAAGAAGAAAAGAAACAGCAGCAGCAGCAGCAGCAGAAGAAGAACAGAAACAGCAGCAGCAGCACCAGCAGCAGCAGAAGAACAGAAACAGCAGCAGCAGCAGAAGAAGAAAACAAACAGCAGCAGCAGCAGAAGAAGAACAGAAACAGCAGTGGTGGCGGTGGCGGCGGCAGCAGCAAGAGAAAGACCAACACGAGAAAGAGCAACACGAGACCTGGACGTACTGTCTCTTCTTGTCCCTATAGTCCTGCTTGATGTTAGCTATTGCCGTCTCGAGTAGGTTGATACGCTCACTCTTGGCCTTGACCCGTGCATCCAGCTTGGAGAACTCACGTTGCAGCTCATTATGTGATTGAATAAGCTACACGGTGTCAAGGAGAGCAAGAACAACAACAGTAGCAGCAGATTGCTTATGTCCAATAAGCCCATTGCGCATTGCCAAAAGTTTATGGAAGATAAGAGCAATGCACATGAGTACGCTGGGATCTGCAATGCACTGTTCAACACCGCAGATGACCATGCGCAGGTGGCTGTGCGGGGTTTCGATGGTAAAACATTACGTCATTGCGCAATGGGCTTTTACACACAGCACAGCAATGCTCATCCAATGAACTTATACGTGTAGTGAGAGATTTCGGCATCCACACGACCACCACCCTCAAGGATCAAGGCGCAGATGCAGCTCCTAAGGCGGTGGGAGGTGAGTAGATCAGACCCACCACAAAGTGGTCAAAGAACGAAAATCCCATCCACTGCATCCATGTTTCCCTCTTGCCAGGTCATGCATATCCGAAGCAGAACTTCATCCTGGTACGCTCTGTTTCTCAATCACTGCCTTAGATCATCACTATGCCTACTGGAGAAAATAATATCTTCAGAACCCTGAAGCTTCATCTAGTTGAACTCTTTCCTGTTTAACTCTCCTAAATCTATCTTGAACATTGCTGGCTAAACATTGAACCTCTCTGCAGGATAAATTCACATGCGCCCGCGCCCGCCCACGCATGCGTACACAAGTGCACACACGCGCGCGTGCGCACACACACACACACGCACACACGGACACACACACACACACACACACACACACTCGCTGTACTGGAACACCTCTCACTACTACTGCACTGCACTCACCTGTTTGTGTGCGGTGGTTATCTGCTGCAGGTTAGTCTCCAGGAAAGCCACTTTCTGATTGCCGGCACTAGACGCAGTGGAATCCACGCCCGACAACGGCTGAGGAACACACAAAGGAAAACAACGAAATTCATTCTCTATCAATACGAGTCGTATACAGGCTTGCTGGTCTTCAAAACCCATTTCTGAAGAATTTCTACAGACTAATGTTGGCCTAAATCAGGTTAAATCAGGTTCGAACTACTCGGCTACTCGATGTTACCCAGGGGATAAAAATGTACTCCTGCCCAGTCATGTGCTACAGTATGATTTCACACCTATCGATGTGCGACATGTGTATAGCATACCACGTACTCAATTTGCGGACAGAACCGTTTCGTCCTTTGTGGACTCATCAGCGCAGCACAGAGAAAATGAGGCCGAACCTGATAGCCATGAAAAATAAATTTTCCAAACCCGGATTTAAACCAGGCCCGAACGTACCTTGCCAGAGTGCTCAAACTGACAAGTCAGTCATCTCTGCATAACGCAAACAGCAAAGCCACTGCCCCACACGAGAGGGCTCAAGTACCACAAGAGCAGGAGCGAAATGCCATACTGTGTGTGTTCGGTTATCCGGTTCCCTCGCCTATCCGGATATTTTCGTTGAAAACGGATGTGTGTGCGGTTATGCGAGATCTTACTGTACTATCGGGTGGCGAAAATACGCCGAAGAGCGAACAGGCTAGAAATTCACTAGATACAGGACACGCGTATGTCCACGGTGGCTCAACAACAGTATTGCACTGCTCAATGAAATCCAATTAAGCGGGTGAATGCCACGCGGGCGCTGTGCAGCCGCAGACATGCGAATAACTGTTACTGGGCATGTGAACTGGTGCAGGGCGCAAACTTGATTCACACGATCTTTTCATTGAGCAGAACTGTATAATGATATTTTAGACAGTTGTAAATTAAAAAAATTAAAGGCCTGAGCTACAACTCTACCCCAGTCATGTACTTAAGCCCAGTTATGTACTTAACCCCAGTCATGTACTTTAGCCCAGTCATGTACTTTAGCCCAGTCATGTACTTTAGCCCAGTCATGTACTCTACCCCAGTCATGTACTCTACCCCAGTCATGTACAGTAAAACCTGTCAAGGCGACCACCTGCCTCAGAAGACCACCTGCCTCAGACGACCACCTGCCCCAGAAGACCACTGTCACCAGGACGAGGGATGCTATTCGAAGTCAAACAACCCTGGATAAGGAGATCATCTGTCAACAAAGACCACATTTTGAAGGTCCCTTGAGCGGTCGTCCTAGACATGTTTCACTGTTCTCTAACCCAGTCATGTACTCTACCCCAATCATGTACTCTAGCCCAGTCTTGCAACAGCCCTCCCCACGATAGTAGCTGATCTCACCGTTTGTCCAGGAGTGTTTGCCTTGATTGTGGTCAGGAACGTCCGCTTGATCTCCACTAAACGCTCAGCTTCTTTCTCCTACCACAGCACAATCACACAGATACACACACGCACACACATGCACATACATGCACATACATAAACATGCAAACATGTATGCACGCGCACAAACGCATATACACATAGACATGCAGAAGTAGATAGTAAATGCAGTCAACTTCGCTAATAACGACTGCGGATATAACGACAATTATTCGCGAATAACGACAGCATTCCCATGCCCAGAGCAAAGTCCCATCCAACTGTAATACATATAATGAGACTTCGGGTATAACGACATTTCGCGAATAACGACACTTTTCTGATGCCCCGCCGAGTGTCGTTATAAGCGAAGTTGACAGTATACACACACACACACACACACACACACACAGAGAGGCAACATTTGCAGCATATCTAAACCAGTTATAGACAGTAAAACCAGGTGTAAGCGACCTCTGGGTTTAGCGACCACCTGCTCTTAACAACCGTTTTTCCATGCACCGACAGTTCTACACAGATACTGTGTGACCTGGTTCTAAAGACCACCTGGTTTTAAGTTAACGATCGCTTTTGCTTGCACCGTGGGGTGGTCGCTTAAACAAGGTTTTACTGTCCTGTCCAATGTGACACGTCACAGGTGCAACGCAACACTATCACTGCGGAATCTCGCTTGATTCACAACTTGCACGCAGTGACAGCAAGCTACAAACACCTGTTTACCAACAGCATGCCCGACATCCAACACATGTTTGAGGTAAATAATAACAAGAGTATAATGGGAAGCCTCCAAGAGTGTGCAACTCTGCATATGAGGCCTCCGACGGCGAAAACTCACATCACGTGTCTCAGACACGTTCCGTACAACGTACAAACGAAGGATAGCGTGCGCGTAATCCGAATATCTGCCATGATCATGCTGGCGAGTTGCATACGCACAGTGAGTTTCTGTCAGAGAGTGAATTTTTTTATTACTCCGCTGCTCGCTAAAAACGGGCTGGAAACGTACAACTGGACCACTGTATCACGTGATGTGAGTTTTCGCCGCCGGCGTACCCCATGGAAAGGATAATATCAGGAGTTGCACACTCTTGGGGGGTTACATACTCTTGGTAATGATAATAAGCAGATGAGCAAGGAAACACGGATGAACTGAAAACTAGCTACAACACACTCCCAGGGCTTCTGCTCCGATACATGTTCCAGCCGTTGGTAAGAGAAGGTAGAGGAGATGATTGGATACGCAAGGTCTGGGCCGAACTTACAACTGCATCTCGCAGTGCCTGAGTTTCAGACGATGCCTTCTCTTTGATGTCACGCTCCATGCTATTGTGGAAATGTGCACACACACACACATGCACACACATGGACACACACACACACGGGCTTCAATACACGTAATTGAATCACCCCACTTTCCTAGAGGCTAGCTTCACTTATGATATCAGATGTATGTGTGTATGTATGTGTGTGTCTGCGTACACGTGTGTGTGCACGTGTACATGTGTGTGTGTGTGTGTGTGTGTGTACTGTATTTTACCGGTTGTAAGTCGACCCCGGATATAGGTCGACCCCCGTATCCGGAGATCTCAATTCTGCGTTTTAAAGTTTTCACCCAAAGAAGCACTACCAACCACTCCCTGCTACTAATACATCAACAAATCATTATTGGAGGGCGTAACGTCCCAATCCTTGAAAAAGGCAAATAAACTGGCAAAAATGTGTACACATGGTGCACTCGTGCATGCAGTGCAGGTCATGTTTGGTAAGATACTGATAGCCCCCGGTTCCCGGTTATAAGTCGAATCCCGGTTGTAAGTCGACCCCCGCCCTTTCTCCTTCTATTTTTGTCGTA